CGTGGAAGGTAATAATCTCGTCTAGGTCTATTTATGATAACTACATGCCAATTACGTGCAATAACACACATCTCATTATAACAGGTAATGAGTAAAGAAAATAAATGGGTTGATCAATTAGAAGATATAGATCCAAAGTATCAGAAAAAATATGCCAAGTCTCTTTGGCCGCCTGCAGATGTAGGTAAACTTAACCTAGAAAGATGGTAGGTTCTCAATATTATCATATGTTATTTCATTAGCAATGCATTAGCAATGTTTATTATCCTTCTTCCAGCATGCGGATATATCCTCACTTTCAAGATACTGGTGCCTTTTTCATTGCGGTGCTTCAAAAGACAGGCCCAATAACAGACATTAGTTCTATAGACAGTTCAGCATCTAATAAGAACGCTTGTGATACAGAAGATGCATCAATCGCTGAAACTAATGAAAATGACATTCAAAATTTTTATGAAGAAACTGACATGTCAAATGATCCAGACGCAACAATTGTTGATGACCTATCAATTAATGTAGCCGTAGATAATTTACATGTAATCCCTATAAAGAGACATAATGTTGATTCTTCTAAACATGAATCACATAAATGCCCAAAAGTTGAAAAGCTCGAAACAAAAATAGAACCTGATGAAGATGATAATCAGATGGGATCTAAACATGAATCACATAAATGCCCAAAGGTTGAAAAGCTCGAAACAAAAATAGAACCTGATGATGATGATAATCAGATGGGATCACAAAAACGAGCGTGCGAAGAGCCTTTTATTTTTTTGGATCCAGATGATGCGGTTATCTCTCAGATCAGGTTTTTTTAAAAAAATTCATCGTGTTTGTACCACATTTGTCTCCATTTGTGAAGTATTTACTAATCATGAAAATCTTTTATCAGAGAATATTATGGATTATCCCATGAATTTCCAACAGATCAATTGCTTGTTCGATCAGTAAATGAGAGAAACAAGATATTGTATTTTGTATCTGAACCTGTTAAACGAGTATTGCAGGCCCCCGATTGTCATCGATTAAGGGTATTTTTTTCATAATACCGTTTACCACTGCTTATAATATCCCCATAAAACATCATCTCCCATGATTAAGAGCCGGGTATTCAACCTAATTATTGAATAATACCTGGTATATAGCTATAATTTATTACTTCCCATGTAAATGTATCCAAATAAGTACCTGGTTTTATAAAAAGTTATCAAATACTATAAGCAGTGCTAAACGATACATTATCTTCTAATAGTTTGTACTCGGTAATCACGTGATATTCTGCTAATCTATAGGTAGTAAACTCTGGAATAAAAGTGTTTACTCGACAAGAAGCCAATGAACCAATAAAATGCGAATTTCGTTTTAACGCTGAGGGTGTAATAATGATATACCCTTACATATCCAAAAAGAGAGTGGTGAATTTTAGATTAGAAGACCTTAAAATATTATTGTCAGAACCAACACCGCTTTTAGATCGATTTGATGAAAAAATTCAGAAAAAGTTGAAAGAATTAGGTAATGAATAATGTGATTTCATCTTTTTATAAAGATTTTTTTTTTTATTGATTTTGCATCACGGTATCAAAAATTGATTGATGCTATTTTTTCAGATATGGGGTGTATAATTGTCTATATTGATTCATGTAAAGAACGTGATGCAATGTAAGTAATGGTGGCGTATTTGTTTTCTTCGGTTGTGTAATTTTAAAATCTTTAATTTTGTTATAATTAGTATATTACCTGTCTGGAGAGCTGCAGTATCTCTAAATCTATTATATCGAAAGGAAGAACGAAGGTTTGTTTGTAAAATTCATGTATGATATCATGTTAGATGTTTTAATATTGCTAACTATAATCTTTCATATTTGGTGTTCAGAGCATTGGAATTAAGAGTTTTGAATTTTTACCAATAAAAGTTGTTTAGAATAAAATGTTTTATTAAATTGTTTGATTCAATTTTGCAACTCCAATTAATATACAAATAAATGCAAACTGAAATAGGCAGCACAAATTTATAATAAACTTTTCAGAACTATAAAAAACTAAAAAAGAACTAGAAGACTAAAAACTGGCTTAAGAAGATCTAAGTAGAGAGATAATACAAATTTTCAATAGTGCTATAGAAAAAAACAAAACTAAAGATAGATACTTGAACTAGAAATAAAGATACAAAGAATTCTCAAGAATAAGGATACAAAGTACTTTTAAGAGAAGAAGGGTACAATATATTCTTATAAGAGAAACCAATTAAGACTACCAAAGCACAAGTTGAAAAAAAAATATATATACTATAAAAGTATATATTAGGGTTAAGATGACTATAAACTGAAGGTTTGACAAACTTAACCTCTTGGGCTATTAGATTGAAATGCTCTAAAGCTAAAGATAGGAGTCTATAAATTAGAAAAAATAAAGTATATAGGTACTGGAGTTTTAAATAAACTCTACAAGAGTATAGTAATTAAATAGATTTAAAACCTAACTGCAAGTAAGAGCTTTGGCAACTGCAATACCAGATTAGCCAGAATAGAATATGGAAGGCTCTGGTAGGTTTATCTCAAAAATAGACTAGCCTAGGGTTAGTAAGTTCTAAGACACAAATAAAATTCAAATAACTGAGTTAGAAGACTTCACTTGGTGAAATTAGATTATGATCAAAGAGTTTAAATAAATAATCCTCTAATTGAGTTACAGATATAGTAGCTAGTATAGAACTTAGAGCAGACTACTTAAATAAACAATCAAAAGTTGTACATGTAGCTAGTTGTATTCTTGTTTGTAAAAACAAAGAGCTTAAATAAATAATCTTCTAGTTAGATTGCAAGTATGGTGGCTAGTATAGAACCCAGGCAGACTACTTAAAATAGATAACCAAAAGTTATATATATGGCTAGTTATACCTTCATTGTAATTAAAACTTAACTTCTAATAAAAAAGTTATAGCCAAAGAGGTTACTTTTAACACCAAAAAAATAATAAGAGCAGTGTTATTTATCATCTGATTTTTTTTTATCAAAAGCATACTTCTCTTCTCTCCTTCTTATTATATATTTGATTAGGTCTTTATATATAATTTTAAATTTTTTTTACCTCTCTCCTCCCTTAAAAAATCACCTGATTTTTGTCACTTCTTTAATAATAATAATTATTGTAAATATAATAAAATTAATATTTATTTGGTTTTTTTTTTTTAAATATTAAGATGGCTTTTTTGGCAAGAAAACTTTTTATTAAATACAAAATACATTTATACAATTACAATGAGAGTATATTAAGCTATACATATACTTTTAGTACTTGATTTAAGTAGTTCATCTGAAAGTTTTATACTATCTGCTATATTTACACTCTAACTATAAAGGTATTTATTTAAACTCTCTAGTTACAACTACTATTTTATTACAACTTAACTCTAAATATTACTTACTATTCATTTATAAATTTTGCATCTACTTTATTAAATTTTACACTCTATTTTAGAATCTAATTATTCTTAAAACAAATCTAATAGAGTGGTCTATATTTTATATATATATTTACCTATATATTTGATAACTTCTTTCTAACTAGTATATACTATGCTGCTATACTGTATTTATATTACATGCTATCTTTTTGAATATTGCTATTCTACAGCTATTTAAACTACAATCTTTCTAATTAGTTATTTATTATATAGGGGGGTGAGTTAGTAAAAAAAGAACAAATTTTTTCTAAGTAAAAGTTTTCTTGACTTTAAGCTTAAATATAGTATCTCAACAACTATTTTATTAAATTTAATAAATTTTTTTTATTTTAATTTTATATAATTTCAAGATTAAAATAAAAAAATTTTTGGCAAATTTGATTAAATAGTTAAAATATTTTAATTTAAAAATTAAAAAAAGTTTACTAAAAACGATTTGTCCCTTTTCTACTAACTTATCCCCATATATCTTTTTCTGTATATATATCTTTTAAAAAAAAAATTTATAATTGTTACTTATAAAATTTTTTATTTTTTATTTTTTTTTTTCGGTGTTAAAGTAACCTCTTTGGCCTGAAGACTTTTTATTAGTAATCATTTGCTATTATAGTTACAATAAAGATACAACTAGCTATATATACACCTTTTAAGTGCCTATTTAAATAGTTCACTAACAGGTTCTATACTAGATATTGTACCTATAACCCAACTAGGAAGTTACCCAATTAAACTTTCTAATCCTAATTATTTTTAAACATATCATACTAATCTAAAAACTACTATCTAACCTATTTTACTAGATTACACAATCTAGCCTTAAAACTTCTGAGACTTATTTTGGGTTTGTACCGATTATTACCAGCTTGTATTTCTCTATTAAGCAAATGCATGGCTATTCTTGAGATAAATCTACCAGAGCCTACTTTATCCTATTTGAGCTAGCCTGGTTTTATACAATTGCCGAGGCTCCCACTTGCAGTTAGGATTATTTTTATTTAACTGCTTTTGCCTTTATAAGATTCACTCCTAATCCCAGTACTCACATTTATACTTTTTTTTTTCTGTTATTTTCTTATTAGTCCATCCCTTACTTTCAATCAGTAACCTGGAAGATTTAATCTTGGTTTGGCTTTAGGTGCTGGTACCTTCATCTTATTTTGGTATATGATTTTTTAGCATATATTTTTTTTCTTCAATTTAGTAGGCTAGTTCTTTAAACATACTTGGCATTTTTTCATCAGTTATTTGACTCCTATAACCCCTGGCCTTGGTGGGTAAAGCCTTCTATCACTGGTTTTCTATACCGGTTGGCCAAAGTTAATATACTCTGTAATGCTTTACAGATTTCTAACTTCTTAAATTGGCAGTTGGATTGGTAAATCCTCTACTAAAAGATCTTGTTGTTATTTGGTTTTCCAATCTTGGCTCTAACTTCCAAATTTAGATCTTTTCTATGATACTGTCAAAGATCATAGCTACTTCTTACTCGGGTCTTTCCAAACAGGTTTCGATTATTCTAGTTTCTTGGCCTTCTATATGCCAAAGCTCTTATGTGAACATAGTATCACCAAGATTACAGGTTCTAGAACCTAACTAATCGATGAATAATCATTACTATAATGCAGGCTTATTTTTCAAAAACATTGTTTATAGAATTCGAACTTTGGATCTGCTACTTGGTGGATAATGACTAGACCACTTCACTAAGCCACCACACTCTTATAAAATTCTTTATATTATCTTAATTTTATATATATATATATATATATTTTAGCTCTTTGATAGTTTTGTCAAAGCCTAAATACAAAAAACTTTATTTAATTATAAATTAATATACCAAATAATATCTGTTTTCTTCAAATTTTAGATCTAACATCTTCTAGCTACATAGACTATATCTAGAGTAACCTGTTATACTAACTTGAAAATTCAGTTAGAAGATCTTATTAGTTTATTAAAAACTAATTCCTTCAATTTTTTTTTTTTTACTGAGAGCAAAAGAATATAAAATTTCATATTACCAATACAGAATTAATATTAAAAAAAAAAAAAACTAAACTAAAAAAAAACAAAATTATGAAAAGAAAATTATAAAAAAAAATAAAAGAAGAAACAGGAAAATATAGAGCCTTTGCAATAGAAAGGGCTCAAACTTTCCAAAAATCAAAAATAAGTTTTTTTAAGATTTAAATAAATTTTGAATCAGGCTACATTTTTTAATTATAAATAGAAATTAGTTTATATAATAAAAAATTAAAATATTTAAAAAAAATCTTTTAGAAGACTTGCAGATTACAAAATTATCTGATATAACTAACTAATTATATTACAAAATTTTGATGAGCCTGAATTAGTCTGAAAAAGATAAATATGATTATCTCAAATTTATATATTTCTGAGTTTTGGCTCTTTCTACTGCAAAGACTTTATATAAAAAAAAAAAACAAAGAGAAAAGTCTTTATAGACTAACTAATCTATCTCTATAATGAAATAGTTTGTAGCCAAATACTAAAAAATTATATAACTAATACAACTTCAATATATCTTGATTGCAAAGCTTCACTTTATATAGAATCTTCTTTCGAATATATTACTATATCTAGATATTAATTAAATATTAAGTCCTGATCTTCTATAGATAGTACTGTATCTATTTCTATAACTATATAGAATATATAGTTGCAATTTACCAAATTGTCTAAATTTGAAATAAGTAAACAATGCTAATCTTCTAATAAAAGTAAGCTGCTTTGCATACTTTTTCTAAAATTCTGTTATAAGCACATGTAGGCAATAATAAAAAATATAGATCTTGTACTTTTTTTAAGAGAGAGTATATATTTTTTTAAAAATAATAAGACAAGTAGATCTAAATATACTGTTGATATTTTTTTTAGTAAGTGATAAACTCTGAACTTGTTAGCAAATAGTATATAAGAACTACTTTTAAATAAAAAATATTATCCTTATAGTAAGTAATAAGCTCTAAACTTATTAGCAAATAGTATATGAGGACCCTTATAGCAAAAGGGTACATTGGGACAAAAATTTTAATTTTGTAATTTTATAAAAATTGTAATTCTATTAGTCTAATTTTTCAAGAAATCAATTAAAATAAAAAAAAATTTTTTAACCTAATACACTCTTTTGCTATAGGAGGTCTTATATAAAAACTATAATACTGGTTTATAGTTCTTGTTAGTCTTATGTTTTTCTTTTCTAATATAGTTTTACTATTTTTGTTAAAAATTTTGATTTGAAAAGTTGGTCCAAGGAATTATTAAGAAGAATAATTGTGTATTTTAATATATTACTAGATGCTAAAGACCTTAATTTTATATTAATACTATATAAATTTATATATATCTATAAATACATACTCTCTCTAAATACACACTTGTATCTAATCCCAAGTAGGGTTTCACAATTTAATTTGATTTAATTTGACTTGATTTGA